ACGAGATTTGAAAATGGAGAAGAAAGAGGTCGGCAAAAGGCAGATTCGAACACGAGTTAAAAAGACTACAGCATACGATTCACTACATCACTGGAGCTGTTGTTTTGACAGCTGTCTTTTGTAATCTTGAGTGTCTCAATCACACATTGGTGAGCGGAGTTAGTGTAAATAGCCTCTGCCAACAAGGTGAGCTATTTGCACTTAGACACTGATGTCACTGCTGAGTAGACTACTTATAAATTGTAGTATGTTACTGATTACATATTAGATGATATTGTTACAACCGGCTCCAAATTGCAACATAAACGAGAGCCAACATGGACCAGCAAGTAGCAAAGAAAAGTAGTATATTTAACAAATACATAATTAATAAAGGTATTCAAACAGTCAGTAGTCAGTATTAATGTAAGTCAATGTTGAAAGCGTGCATGGCAGTGGACTGTAGGCTCAAGGTCTGAACTGTATGCAAACAAAATAATCAAACAAAACAATAGAGCAAGCGGCAAGCCCGGCTAGCGTGGTCACATCGTGCCCCGTCCTCATCAGCGCTGCAGTTTTTATAGCTCCGCATAATGAGCTCAGGTGGGAAGACACACCCACAATAACCAGTATACCTGCAAACCAAAAACAAAACAAATAAAAACACAGGCCCAGCACTCACTGGGACATAACAATATAAATTGCAGTCAGTAATGTAATTTAGATTACTCATTTTAGGTAATGACTACTTTTGGATTACTCTTATTATTATTAAGCTAACTTGTTTATCCAACTTTTTCCTTAGTAACAGATTAGTGCTGCCATGATGGATTCTAACTTCCATTTGGATGCTGTCGTGTTCCGGTCTCCACAGAAATCCATGTTAAAACAGGGTAAAAAGATTGAATATGTGAACTCATCTGTTTTCAATGCAGCTAAACTCGGGCCGTTTTCGTAGGTTTAACGTTATATTATCAGCTCAGAAGATACATTATTTTGACTAGAAACGCGAGAGACCATGAGATGTAAAGCATTGTTCTAGAATGAGTTGGATGAGACTTCCACATTCAGGAAACAGGAAGATAGACTTTTTATTAAAAAAACATAAATCAAATATATTCCATTCTTTGTTATCAACATCATGAATGAGCATTTTACATGTACTAATCTAATTGCAAGTACTACATTTTCGGGTAATACTTTATTTTAAGGTGTCCTTGTTACACACGTTACATGTACTTACTATTATAATAACAATAAATGATGCAAAATTACATGCAAGTAACCCTAAGACGAACCCTAATCCTAACCCTAACCATATAGTAAGTACATGTAGTTAATTATTGTTACTCACTACATAAATGTATAATTACACTGTAACAAGGACACTTTAAAACAAAATGTAAACAATTGAACAATTCAAGATTCAAAAATCTGTTTATGAATTAACTCACTGATTCTGTAATCATAGCAGTTCTCAAGCTCATGGGAGAAGATTATGAGTAAATAACTTAAATTCAATCAGTTTCTCACAAAAAGTTATCATATGACATCATAAAATAATAGTGCCATGGGTTGTGTAGACTAGATATTTCACATCATATTCCACATTAGAAGTGAAATAGACTACTTTTATGAATATTTTAAGGTTAAAGATTGAACCAGTATATTGTGCAAATTCTCCTTTTTGTTCCACAGAAGAAAGACAGTCATACAGCTTTGGAACGACAGGAGGGTGAGTCAGTTAAGACAGAATTTGGGTGAATATCACTGCAATAAATCTCACATAAGGAGAACACATTCTTGTCTATAAAACTTGAACGGTCTCATTGGACAGATCTCTGTATAAATAAAGTAAATGGCTATTGTAATAAAATATTATTGTGCTTTAGAAATCAACACAATGTGCTGATGTATAATTGGAGGGGAATTCAGTAGTTCAACAGTAAGCAGAGTTGAGAAAATGAATGGGTTTCATCTTAATCAGCTCGAGGCCCTTGCCTGCGGAGAGGGGTGATAAGAGGCAGCTGGCAGGATGTTAAGAGTCTCAGAGTATTTTCAGACCTTTGCGTCGAATTCGAGACACTTAGATGTCAAAGATGGAGGTGAGATCACAGCTAGTGATTTCTGGGGCTACATGCACAGTCAAATCAAGTCTGCCAAAGAGCTGCCAAAGCACATGGTGGTGGAAAGTTTAGTAAACTTTCTTTCATTATCATCACTTAAAGCTGTGGCATACATTTTATGGCATCCCGAATGTTTTGAGCAGCGAATGTCAGAACAATCCCTTTAAGTTATTAAAAACCCTTAGTTGAAATGTTACGGGTATTAACACTGAAGTTTTTCTTAACGTAAGGAGCTTGTTGCAACCAGCTGCTGACCATTAATAGTCAGAAGCCAGATGAGCCCTCATCCGTCTTCAGAAGTCAAAAATATATTCAGCCCTTAGTTGTTAACCCATCCAGTCAAAGTAAGCAGGGACATCAATCCTGGGAGCTGATGCACTATAACTTGAGATCAGCAGCCTTAACAAACTGTGTTTTTAACAAGCTTAAAGGGGTCATATGACATGATTTCATGTTTTCCTTTGTCTTTGGAGTGTTACAAGTTGTCCGTGCATATATAAGATCTGTAAAGTCGCAAAGATTAAAGTCTCAAACACAAAGAGATATTCTTTCTAAAGATTAAGACTCATCCACGCCTTCCTAAAACGCCTCATTCTAACACGCCCCCACATGTCTACATCACTGTGTGGGAAGATTTGCATAACACCGCCCAAATGTTTACGCAAAGAAAGAAGGCGTAACTTTTATTCTCGCTGTAGTATTGTTGCCGCCGCCGACATGTCGGGCATGTTGGGCAGTAACGCATTACTTAGTAACGTGTTACTGTAATTTGATTACTTCTTTAGTAACGGAGTAATTTAACGTGTTATAATTTTCAAAATAGTACTTAGAGTATAGTTACAAGCCGAGGTCTCTATACGTTACTGCCGCGTTACATTGTTGACAGAATGCAGTGTTTTATAATCTAGAGATTGTAAAAAGGATGTAGCACATGCACTGTCGAGTGAAGTGCCAGTGGATTAGAGAGCTGCTGCCGCGAGACCCGACGCAACAGAGTGTGGCGTGGGACAAGATGGGTGAGTGCAGAGACTCGTGTGTGTGTGGGATGTGGGAGAATAAAATGATTCACGGGACTCCCGCAAAATATAAATATCTAAACATAAAATATCTAAAACAAATAAATTGTTATTCTTCTATTGCACATGCAACATGAACTAATATAAAATATAAACGATTAACAGGTGCAAGCGTATGCAGGTTCTATTTAGGCTATAACACGTGTTTGGAGTATTGAGCAATGGAGTGCTGAAATTTGCGTGCTCATGAATCCTCTCATTATAACACACAAATTGTAGACATTATGAAAGATTCATTACGTAACTTGCCCAACACTGGTCACATGCTTGAGGTATTAGGCCAATCATAACGCACTATTGCTGGCCAATCAGAGCACACCGCGCTTTACAGAACGATGAGCTTTGTAAAAATTGATGCATTTCAGAAAGGCAGAGCAGAGAGGAGTGACGATAATGTACGGTATGTGGAAAATAATGTTTTTTCTCAGGCCATGTCCACACGTAAATGGGCATTTTTATAAACTGAGTTTTTCCGTCTTCCGTTTTAAAAAAAATCTCCGTCCACATGAAAACACAGACTCGGGCTATGAAGCACTGTCAAGAGCATGCCAAGCCAACAGGTGGCGATATAATCTCAACCGTAAAGCCATGTTGGCCAATCAGAAGCCTGAAAAAGTTTCCAGTAGGCAGAGATAACAGCGTATGTTCCGACGTCACAAGCCAAAAACTCCGGTTTCGCTGTCTACATGATAACACTGCAACCGGAGTTTCTGAAAATCTTCACCCTGGCAGGAGTTTTCAAAAATGTTCGGTTTCAGTGACCTGGTGCTGCGTTTCCTTGTGGACGAACGGCCAAACCGCATAGAAAAAGTTTTGAAAATGCCTGCGTTCGTGTGGACAGAGCCTCACTCACATTACATTACAACAAATACACAAAACAATGTTATTTTTAGCAACGTCATATGACCCCTTTAAATTGTACATGATTTATTACCTCAGTTCGGTCCACTCTAAAGATATGAGTCCAATGCAATATTTCAAAAATAGCATTTTGTCAGATATGTATCCGCAATATTGTAACAGTGGTAGATATAATTGGCTACAGAAGTAGTAATGTGATTTTGGTTTGTGAGTTCAGCTCCTACTGGTACAAATGTTTAAAGACAGGGCTACATTTGAATACCATGCACTCAGGATTAGTTTCCAGTCTTTATAGTTTATTTACATTATGCTAATATCTGTTACATATACCAATGTTTACTGAGTCTGGGCTCCCTCTGCATATTTAAATAAGGCTTGTAGAATGTTATTAGGTTTTGTAGTGTAAGTGATGCATATTTGCCTGCTTTCATCTCTTTGTTTACTGGAAAGTGCTTTTAAATGGAACTGATTGTTCCAAATTCTGCTGACTTTTTTGGCCTCCTGTCATGCACATAACTTGGATTTCTAAACATCATGCCGTATTAATGTCCTCTCTTCTGCTGTGATGATGATGATGATGATGATGGGTGCAAAAAATTGTGTTTGGAAAAACATGAGACAAAGTCACAGCTCTCCTAGCACCTGGGTGGATGAACCTAGGCCACGCACCAGACATCCCTGCTTGTTCAGAAGGATCAAAGGAAGTCAGCGCAGGCACGCTAGATATTCAAGTCCCTTCACAGATGGTGATGTTGACTCTGGAAGCTTGTGCAAAGACCTGGCTTTGCTGGAATTTAGGAAACAGCTCTAGCACTAGGGCCATGTGGGATCTCAAAAAAATAACATGTTAGATTGAGTGAGCGAGGGAGCAGGAACGAGAGAGAGAGAGAGAGAGAGAGAGAGAGGGAGGGAGGGGGAGATGAGAACATTTTTAATTTTTTCACAGACCATCGTAAGCAGTCAGAGAGGCAAATAGTGAAGTGCAGAGGAAAGCGACAGGCAGTCGTCTCCAGAGAGTGCCTGAGAGCAATGGTCAGTCCACTGACAACAACTCAACATCCGGACAGTAAGGAAGAGGGAGGTTTTTCATACTGCAGCCTGCCCTGGGGCCTCAGAAATCATCTGCCTTCTTCACAGCAATGCCTGCACCACATACTGAACCAAGGACAAAGTTTCTTCACTGCATGTAGTCTGATTTGCACATGGACACTGTAAGTCCTCTATGCCTTTCCACCTTTAACCTTCTGGATCAAGGGATACAATTTGAAGTTTCACTGTCCACTCTTTTCTGAAGTTGCTTGGAAGTTTCCATGCAAGTTTTGTAAATATGCTGCCTGTGGTTTTTGTGACATGGTGGGTCTGGGTGTTGCTTGGAAGCATAGGGGGACAGTCCCAATCTCAGCATCAATCTCAGACTGACGACTCAAACCCATGGAGACAGATGATTCAATGGGAGAACAATGGACGTGTGTTCAGTCTTCTCAACAGTGGGGCTGAGTACGTCCCGGCTCGGACTCAGGAGCGTGACAGGAACCCCCGAGTGCTTTTAGCAGACGCTCCCAACCGTCGATCACAGGGTGGGAATGTACGGAGGCAAGCACCCTCCAGAGGAAGCTCTGAGACTGTGAGAGGCCAAGCCAGACATCCGTTTGGGTTTGGCCAGGTGCCGGACAACTGGCGTCAAGGTGCAGCTGGAACAGGTGAAACAAGTCGCTTTCAGTCATCTACCGGCTCTCGCTTTAGACCATCCTCTGGCTCATCCTCCTCCTCCTCCTCATCCTCTTCTTCTTATCCACAGTATCCGTTCCCTCAACAACCTCCTTATGACTCGGTTCTGGACAGGTCATACGAACCTCCCTTCCGTGGAACGGGGTACTCCACTGGCACTGGTGGTGGCTATGCAGGAGGAGGATATGGAGGAGGTGGGTACTCTACTGGAAGTTTTGGAGGAGGTAGCTATAATGGAGGGGGTCCTGCAACCGAAGACAGGTATCGATACTATCCCCCTTACGGTCAACCATACCAAGCTGTTCCTGCTCAGCCTGCACAGCCACCGGTCTCTGATGGATTGGACCACAGGTACACGCACAGTCTGTACAACGAGGACTCTCGAGATGCTGCAGTACCTGTCTCTAGCAACACAGGCTCATCGTTCCAGCCTGCGATGCAAAGCCCCCAGTATGAACAGTTCCCCCCCTTTGGAAGGCCCCAACCACAGCCTCCGTTTGTGCAACCACCTCCACGCAACTCTCTCATCTCTAACAACGCAGAGAGCCCGAACATGAATGCAGGGAGTGTTTATCGTCCTCAGCAAAGAGGTATGATGCATATCCACGTCGTATACACTTGTGAAAGAATAATTTTGTACATCCCACACTAATGTTACTCAATAGTTTTGGTCATAGACTAGCAGTCCAGAAAGTGTGTTTTACATATATTGCACTGAATGCTACTGCGTTTCCTCATGATTCATGTGTCGAGCAATGCTGCAGGCTGCTATGCTAAGTAAAGTTAATCACAGAGAGACATCTAAAAAATGTAGTTCTTCTGCCATCTCTTTGTGTTTCCTGGCAGCCCTTTGGATTTAGCAAACATGTAACCCAAGGGACTCAAACTGCACAAAAAGATTGTAAAGCTGTTTGTTTACGCAGCTGGTAATGGGCATTGCTTTTGAGCTAATTTGTCTGTTTGTTTCCTCATAAGCAGTCAGTAAAAATTACTCTCTCCTAATGTCAGAGCATCTTTCATTCCCATCACCCCATTGCATTGTGTTTCAATTTACAATCAAAGAAGTTCCAAGTTCTTCTTCATCCCAGAGGCTGGGTTATTGGAACCAGGTGTTGTGGGATGTGTGCGTGGGTGTAAGAGTATGTGGTAGTTGGTCTGTGTGCTTAGTGCCTATGGATACTCATTCTGCACAAAGAGTGCTCATTGTTTGAAGATTTGGTTCTGGTTTTGGTGATGACTGCCCTGCGAGGGCTACGGATGAATGATCCCAGTATTTGCTTTAGAGGGTGGGGTAAGGGGCTCAAGTGGCTTGGTTGTTGCTGGGTGGGTGGTGAACATGAGCGGTGTGTGTGGGGGATTGTGGGGTGTTACTACATAAAGAGTGGGGAGATGGAAAGTACCCAGCACACATGGGGTCTATTGCCTCAGGAAACAGAAAATATTTTGCTAGCCCCTAAATAAAAGTGTGTGTGTGTGCGTATATGTGAACGTGTGTGAGGAGGCGGGTGTGTGTAAGGCCTTTGGGACTGAGTTTCTGGCCACTGCCAAGGTTCATTTTGTAATGTGAAATGGTCTTTGTCTCTTGCTTGAGTCACGCACGACTAATCACCCTAGTTTACACAATCTGGTCATAAGGGAAATGGGTGTAAACTCAATCCACTGGAAGGTGCACATGTGGAAAACATTGACATTACTCATTACCCAATGATGCAATCACAAACAAATAAGTTGAAATCAGAGCTCCAGCCTGCGGGAACATATATTATCTGTGAATCTGAGTCTTAGAAATTGAAATAACATTAGATGGGACACATTTACTTGACTTGACCCATAGCATTGAACCTCTTTAAGATGGATGTTGAGATCTGGCCTGTATCTGACCAGAGGACATTTATTTATTTTACTTGCATCTTACTAAAAAAACAGTATACTGTCATCATGTTTTTCTAATTTCTTGTGGACTTTATGAGGAGTTTAAGTCAACTACTTTGGTGTAGTGCAGGCATCCAACAGAATTTTGTGGCGAAAAGTGCAGACTGTGTGAAGAAACTTTTGCTGGATAACCACAGTCTTTCACACTCTCTTTACACTGTTTACAAAAGCTGACCAAGGAAGTTTCCTGAGGCCTTTCCTGAAGTCTGCTTCAGACCGAGCTGGCAAATCAGATGTGTACACAGAGATGGAGATGGCAAAGCATTCACTGACTCCAGTGAAGGGCGGCACTAACGAGTCTGAAATAAGGAGGCTGACCAAGGGCATTATGTTTTATAGAATGAAAGTTGCTCCCAACTCTAAACATGCCTCCAGCAGAAGTGAGATTAGATCTGCACTCCACATTGTTGCTAGCTGGAAACAGCTGAATTTTCATGCTACTCCAAGCTGGTTTATGTTTGTTATTGCTGGTCTGGCTGTCAGCAAAAAAATGCTGGATGACCATCCAAGTCTTGCTGGTTAAGGTAATTCAGAGGCCTAGTGGGACTCCAGTATCATACACTGGAGTCCATCAGTGCTGATCTTCTCAACAGGGTTCTTTTCTCTGAAATCCATGACATGCAAAGCAGGAAAGCAAATATGCTGTCGCCTTCCCTTTGAAGAAATGTTAATGTCCACCTACGGACTTAGACTGCACTGTTATTATATTCATAAGATTATTTAGACATAAAGTGAGCTTGCATTTTAAGTGTAAACAAAGGTGATAAGTAGTTTCTGTATTGGCCCTGTACAGAGTTTTATGAACATTGGCTGTTACCGCTAGCTCTGTTTTTCTTTTCTATTTATTTTTTCTGTTTTTTTTTTAACAAACGTGGTCACAGGCCCGATTTGGATCCAGCAGGGAAGTGATCTCATTTTCGTTTCGCTGTCACCTCTCCCTCATCTTTTGTACTCTCTCTCTCTCCCTCTCTACGTGCAACACTTTGTTCTTTTTTTCTTATTTTTGCGTGACCTTGAAACCAGATGAGAAACGGTGTTTGATGCATTATACTGTGAGGCTTCAGCATTACCTCCTCAAAACCTCTTCATCTCTTGTGTATTATTTCAAAGGCATACGTATTTGGATACAGCCATTTTTCAAATATTTTACTTTTTTTTTACATTTAAGAGCATGTAACATCAGAACAGCTCAGAACATTAAAGAAGCACATTTGTCCCCAGGACAGTGTGTTATGAGACTTGACATTGTTTTTATCCTGCTAAAAAAAACAGTCTGCTTTTTATGGTCAAAGCTGATCTCCAAAGATGGTCCTTGTTTTAAAGGGCTTTGGACATTTGGTGGTCAGACTTGTCTGTTTGGTGGTTTTAGAGTAGTTTTGGATACTTTTCAGGTGGCCAGGCATTTGGACACACTTTAGGTTGTCAAACTTGTTGGTTTGGTGGTTTTAGAGTTCTGGACTCATTTCAGTTAATCAGACCAGTTGGTTTGGTGGTTTTCAAGTGGTTTTGGACCTTTTTTGGGTGGTCAGACTAGTCAGTTTGGAGATTTTTTGAGTTTTGCACACTTTTTGGGTGGTCAGACCAGTCAGTTTGGTGGTTTTTAGAGTGGTTTTGGACAATTTGCAGGTGGTCAGACTTGTCTGTTTTTTGGTTTTAGGGTGGTTTGGGGTGTTTTTAAGGTGGCCAGGCTGGTCTGTTTGGTGGTTTTAGAGTAGTTTTAGACATGTTCATCATGATCAAACTGGTCAGTTTGGTGGTTTTACAGTGGTTTTAGATACTTTTTAGGTGACCAGGTGGTGGTTTTAAAGTTATTTAGACACATATCATGTGGGTTTAGGGGGATTTTGGTGCATTTTATTCTACAAACCAGCTGAAAATCAGCTTGACCAAGGTTGAATACCAGCTATGACCTACTAAGACCAGTCAAGAAGTTTTTCCCCTTCAGTGTAATTTCAGGAGATGTGCTTCAGCCAGGGGCGGACTTACACATTAGGCAAAGGTAGGCGACCGCCTTGGGCCCCCAAAAGCCAAGGGCCCCCTAAAATGCTTTTCATATAGGATATGCGCATTAAGAGCGGACACATGAACGTTTGCAGTTTACGGTGTTTATTACCACGACAACCGTCCGAGTCTGTGGCGGCTGCAGGTGTACGAAAAAAATGCAAGTGATCGCACTGGCGCCTCCATGTGCTGCAGAACGCGCTTCAGCTTCCACTCTCCGCAAACAATTGGATATGCGTCTATCAGCGCACATTTATCTAGGTTAAACATTTAAACTAACATTGTGATATACTTGAACTGTTTTATATATAGATTTTATTTTAGGCAAGTCCTGATGATTTGAGAAGGCTAAATTGATCAAACATAGGCTATAGGCTATGATCAATTCACTGTCTGCCGCTGGCCTTTACTTAAAAAAACTAAATAACTTACATTTAACGAACAAAAAATGCTCCAAATGTTTTTCTAAATTTACTTTAAAAAAAAAAACGAAACGAAATATAATCACTAGTGACTTTTCCATTACATACCAAACTGAACTATTTTAATAGCTGAAACAGTAGTATAAGCTTTTTTGGGGAAAAGGGGAAAAAACACGGGCTAGGGCCTATATTTGAGACCCGTGCTTTAATCCACTTCATCCAACGCTGTTTTGTTCTCATCTGTGAGCATGCTCTTGATATATGTATTTTAGGTGTGTAAATGTATAATTGCCTTTTAATTATTTTTTCAGTTTTATTTAAATTTGTAGTTAAAACATGTATTTTAAAGTTTAGAATTAGACAGCCTTTGCACACAGGCTTACGCTGAAAACAACAAAATGGAACCTCAACGTTGATCTAGAAAAATGTGTGCAAATGTATAGGGCCCCACTCCTATATTTTGCCTGGGGCCCCCAATTCACTAAATCCGCCCCTGGCTTCAGCAGCTGGTTCTACACTGTAACCCTGATGATGTCTCCTGTTTTTAGGTTTGCCTGACCTGGTTCCTGACCCGAATTATGTCCAAGCCTCCACATACATTCAAAGAGCCCATATGTACTCCATACGCTGTGCTGCAGAGGAGAAGTGTTTGGCCAGGTGAGAATCCTCAGTTCTTTTATTTATGAAATGGCAAAACAAAGCTGGCCAGGCAGTATTTACACAATAACCCTCCCACACTCATCTACAACTGTTTACACCACACCATACAATAATACTTCAAACAACTAACGAGAAGAGTGTTAGATGATGTCTGGTGCAGAAGTATGGGTGGTGTCACATCATATAAATTCCAGCCTGCTGTTATGAGCTCATCTCATATATACAACATGTTTTATTACTCAGTGCTGCAGTCCTTCATTAAGGTTTTTTTTTTCTCCTCAGCTCCGCCTATAGTGCCGAAACCACAGACTACAGTGTTAGGGTTCTTCTGCGCTTCCCTCAGAGAGTGAAGAACCAAGGGACGGCTGATTTCATGCCCAACCGACCTCGTCACACCTGGGAGTGGCACAGCTGTCACCAGTGAGTCTCTCTTTTACCTCTGTATATGTGGAGACCTCATGGGCATAGAATACGCAGGGGACGTGGTGGACTTTTAATAAAATGTAAATTAGTCCCCCGCACTTTTTCCAGGCAGGTGTGTTCACGTACAGCTTTTCTAGGGCCAGTGTAAATAAATGTACGTTTGAAGTCAAAGAGACAGGATAGTCTATGCATGACCTGACGGTTTATTCACCAAAATGAGGTGATGTGAACATTACACTGTTTAGTAGAGCACTAAACACTCTCATGCAGTGCATGTTCCATTCATACTCGAAGCCAGAGGGCGCTCTCATGCAGAAAGTCCAAAACGGACTCATATAGAAATAATAACTTATGACATGCCGGGAAATCCCTAATTTTTAATTTGTAATTTTTTTCCATTCTTGAATTTTGGATTTTTACATTTTTTTTTTACTTGTTCTTTTTTAGTTTTTTTAGAACAAAGAAGGGCAATAACATATAAATTACATCAAAACAAATACAATAATAAATGAAAACAATAAAAATAGGGAAAACAATAAGAAAATCACATGTCCATAAACAAGTACAGATCATTACAAATTATTCAAAGAGTAGATTTAAGGCTTTAAAATAATTTGCTTTTTTTTTTTTGCTTTGTTATTTCTTGTTTCTTTTAACGTATACAGGTAGTGATATACAGTATTTCTATTTTAAAATTAGTAAAATTACGTTTTTTCCCTGCCCACTTACATTTGTGAATAAATAATTGTCCATATATAATGAATAAATTCACAATATGCCAAATTTTTAAGTCAACAGTATACTCATAAAAAAAATAAAACATCTTTTTCTTTGAGTTGCAATTCAATATTAGTACGTTGTTTAACAAAACAACAAAAAAATACCACCAAAATAAATACAATCATAAAATAAATGGACAATACTCTCATTTTCCTCTTTACAGAAAACACACTTCAAGTTAATGTCTTTTCAAAATGTTGCAATTAGCTGTTTTACAGGATAAATACGATGAACAATCTTAAATGATACCAGTCTAATTTTATTTGTGATACAAAAACGTCTGGAGATCTTAAAGGTCTCTTTCCAGTTGACATCTTGAAATTGTGATCTCCAAAAACCAATGGCTAAAGGAACACTGGAAATTTGGCAAATCATTCTAAGATATGTATTATTACATTTTTTTTCTTTTATATTTATACCTTCCAATGTAAGACTAAAATCTAAATTTGGTTTTTCGTCTATATCATTTCCTCAGAATTTCCAAGCACTGAGCGAATGGCATTAATTACCATCATAAACTCCTTAACAAGTATGTAAAATGACATTTTTTCTAAAAACTCTAAATAGGTAAGCACAAGGAAATCCCTAATAAGGACAAAGGCATTCAGTGATCACTGTAGCTAAGCTTTATAAATAGCAGAAATGATTTGATTGATGAAACATGTAGACAATAAACACACGTTTGTGACAATATATGGTTTATATGTGTTTTTCTAAGTCATCTGCAGGTAATAAATAAATAAAATATATGGATAATGCCGTGCTAATTCACATATAATTTAGTACAGAAACTATAAAATATATGTTATGCCTAATTATGTGATAAAAATA